TGAGGGTTTAGGGTTTAGGGCCCCTTTCCCACGCATTTTGTTCTCGCCCCCCTTGCGTTGTGGGATATTGAGGGCGGCAGAGGTAAGGCAGCAGCCGCAACCCAGACCCAAATCGCAGAATGTACTGTAAACCCAGACCCCTGGGAGGGTCTACAAAGTAGATCCCCTAATTTGGGACCCTAACTACTACAGGGTCCTTTATTGGATCTACTTTTTGGATCCTCCCGGGGGGTCGGGGAAGCCCTTAACCCTCGACCCTCAACAATCTTGACCCTAAACCCTTAACCCTAAACCCCCTAATAAGCCTGACGCGGCCGGAAGCCCAAACCCCGATCGTCAGGATGCTGTCGGACATGCAGCACCTAAAGAAGGCCACTTGAATGGTTCGGTTGGAGGGTTTAGGGTTTAGGGTTTTAGGGGAGTTTTGGGGGGTTAAAGAATGTGTCTGAAGGTCCTGCAAACAGGATCGTCTCTAGAACCCGCTCTAGTGTTTGCGTGGTGAGTGCCGATACAGCTACTTAAAGGTTCATGGGACTTAGTAACTAGGGTTATAAATAAGGTAACTATACTTGTAATTACTTATAACCCCCATTAAGGTACTTATAACTGTACTTATTAAGGCCAATGAACCTCCAAGTACGACATCGTCCAATAGTGGCTTCGTTTCGTCTTTTGGTCGCCGAGGTGCTTGCTATCTAGGCCAGAATCCGTGGTTGGACTCTTCATCAACCCAGACCTGCGGGAGGATCCAAAAAGTAGGTCCGTTAAGGGAATTCCAATGAAGTACCTTTTAGTAGTACCTTAACCCTAAACCCTAAACCCTAAACCTTAAACCGAACCAAATTAGGGGATCTACTTTCCAGATCCTCCTGGGGGTCTGGGTAGACTAGAGCACCATCGTGGTAAGGCTTCCTCTCAGTCCGGCTTTGGGCTGAAGCCCAAAATGGAGGCCTAATAACCCAGACCCCCGGGAGGATCTAGAAAGTAGAACCCCTAATTTGGGACCCCATACTACTAAGGGCTCTTTATAGGAACCCCCATTAAGGGATCTACTTTTGGGTCCTCCCGGGGGTCTTGAAAAGAAGCCTAAATAATCACCCGCATTTCTGTTAGGGCTCCTTAATATACAATAATACTATACAAGGAGCCAAAAACCCTGTTCTACTCATTAAGGCCCCATTAAATAGTCAGAAATGGCTCTCGGGGTGTATGACAATATGAATATGTTCAAATGCCTTTCAAAGGTATATGACTATAAACAACCATGGCTCAGACCTCCACAGTACGCCCAACCTAAGTCTAGGACATTTTCCGGTGGGTAGTTACCGTTATAGGAGCCTTATAGAAGGTCTAGACACCTTATGGAAGCCTTATAAACGCCCTAAATACCCTAAACTCCCCACCTGTAGTACCCTAAACCCTAAGCCCTAAACCCCTAAACCCTAAACCCTGTAGTTACCTTTAACTAAGGCCTCTAAATTACGCCTCAGGTGTTCTCCGGTCTGCAGCAGACGAACAGCGACCTCATCGCTGAGTACAATAAGCAGCTCGGAGCGGCAGACCCTACCAAAAACAGGGCTTATAGGGTTTAGGGCTTTAGGGGTTCAGGGTTTAGAACTTTAGGGTTTGGGGTGTAGGGGTGAGGACCCTGGACCTACCAAAAACAGGGCTCAGGGTTTAGGGCTTTAGGGGTTTAGGGTTTCGGGGTTTAGGGGTTTAGGGTTGCTGGCTTTAGGGGTTTAGGGGTTTAGGGGTTTAGGGGTTTGGGGTTTACGGCTTTAGGGGTTTAGGGGTTTGGGGTTTACGGCTTTAGGGGTTTAGGGGTTTAGGGCTTTAAGATTTGGGGTGTGGGGGTTAGGACCCTGGACCTTCCAAAACCTTACTTGGAGGAGCAGGCCTCCTTACAGATCTCTTGAAAGGGATCCTTAAAGTGCTCTACATGGGTTCTATAAAGCAGGTCGGGGGGACGAATGTAGTAGCTTTATAGAGTTGTAAGTATCAGAACCCCAGTTAGGAGAGCTATGAGGGTACCTATACGGCTACTGAGTACCTACTTACTACGTCCCCCGACACTCCAAGCATACTCTAAACCCACAAAGCCGTAATCTGAAATCCCGCAAAACCCAACGGAAACCTTCAACCGTAAACCCGAAACCCTATATCCCCTTACATCCGCAAACCTGCAGAGATCCCGGAACCCTAAACCCAGACACCCGGGAGGATCTACTTAAAGGTTCCTGGGACTTAGAAGAAACTAAGGTAACTATAGGGTTTAGGGCTTTAGGGTTTTGGGGTTTAGGGTTATAAATAAGGTAACTATCCCTGAAATTACTTGTAGCCCCAACTAAGGTATTATAACTGTACTTATTCTCCAAGTAGAAAGTACACTATTTGGGGATGGGGGTTCCCTGAAGGGATTCTAGATACTCCCGGGAATCTGGGTAAAGGGATCTACAGCGGTTTAGGGTTTAGAGGGTTTACAAGGTTTCGGGGGCAGATCCCTTTATAGGGGTTTCCTACAAAGTGCCCATAAGTAATTAGTATAGGATCCCAATTTAGGGGTTCTACTTTATAGATTCTTGGCGAGATGTGGGAACCCTTAACGCCAAGGCGTGCAAACAACCACCAGCAGCTCCTCGCGCAGCTCAAGGAAGTCAACATGATGATCCAGCATCCCGGCTGCAAAGCTACCCAGACCCCCCGGAAGGATCTAGGAAGTAGAACCCCTATTTTGGGACCCTATACTACCAAAGGCTCTTTATAGGAACCGTCTATACAGGGATCTACCCCCGAAACCCTGCAAACCCCATAAACCCTAAACCCCTATAGATCCNNAACCCGAAACCCTAAACCCTAACTATGGGGAATACGTAGACTTATAAGTATCCTAACCGGGACTAACCCTAGACCCTAACCCTAAACCCCTAAACCAAGTATCCTAAAAGGGGTCCTAAGTATGGGGTGCTATGCATGTTTTAGGGCATTTGGCTTCTGGGGCTTGAGAGGTCTATGCTCCAGGGTTCCATATCTTGTGCCCTAAACCCCTAAACCCCTAAAACCTAAACCCCAAGCCCCTCGGTTTAGGGTTTAGGGTTTAGGACCCTTAAACCCTAAAGCCCTAAGCCCTAAACCCCAAACCCCTAAACCCTAAGCAAGGCGCCCTTGAAGCCCTTTAACGGCTTCCAGGGTGCGGGGTTGAGGCAAACCCTGAGTCTTTAGGCATTAGGCCTGGCTTAGGGTTTAAGATGTATTCAGGGTTTAGGGTTTAGGTTTAGGGTTTACGATCGATGGTTGGGGGGGGGGTAGAGTTTAGGATTGGGAAGACCCTGCTGTAGACCCTCAAGCATAGTGCTGAAACACTATAGTTCAAAGCCCAAACCTCTGAATTCCTAAAACCCTAAACCCTAAACCCTAAACCCCCAAAGCTTCGCAGGAAAGCTGCGAAGCTCCGCATGGGCAACGCAAAGGGCCGGGTGGTTGCCGCCTGCCGCCAGGCCATCAAGCAGATGCTCGGCTTCTTCAAGGGTTTAGGGTTTAGGGTTTAGGGTTCCTGTAATATAGAAGTCTAAATAACTACCAATCGTAGTTTAAAAGTGAGTTTAGCTTTTAGGGTTAAGGGTTTAGGGTTACCTAATAGCGGGTTCCATAGGTGTACGACAGGGATGTTGGGTTCGGGAATCCTCACAAATCATTGCTTCAGTATACTGCAAACCGCAGGGCCTATAACCCTAAACCCTAAGACCTATTGCCTTGTCTTTGAGGTCCCAGGGGCTCGTAGTTGCAGGGTTATGTGTTTCGGAGTATCGTGGCCGGCTGAATGGACGTAGGACTTTCTGGTTTAGAAACGGTTTTAGGTTTAGGGTTTTAGGGTTTAGGGTTCACTTTTTGCAGGCTTGTGGGGCGTTGGCATCTCTGGGGTTTTCGGTTTAGGTGTTAGGTCTATACTGTCCTGTGGAGGATCTAAAAAGTAGAACCCCTAATTTGGGACCCTAACTACCAAAGG